TACTCATCCCACAATGCCTCATTTTAATGAGGGTTAATTTTAGATTGAGTTTAGTAAATTGATTGTATTTTATGATGTTTTATGTTTTAATTAGAGGTTAGGGAATTATATTTAATTAATGTCATTGTAATATTTTATGATTGTTATCACCTCGATCCTTCGGAGAGAGGCGGGCTATAAATAAATTATTATTATTATTATTATTATTATTATTATTATTATTATTATTATTATTATTATTATTATTATTATTATTATTATTATTATTATTATTATTATTATTATTATTATTATTATTATCCACAAGAATGGAGAATCCTTAGGAGGTTGGGACTACATTGAGTCTGGCCACCATCCCAGTACTTGATGCGGGGCCACTCCGATTTTCAACACACTTCATTTAAACCAGCCACATCCTCGGCAGGGCTCTTTCAAGGAACAAATGGGAACCATATAGTCCCAGCAGACAAAAAGGTAAGCAGGGCTCACAACTTTCCCCTGCCTCTGCCCTGCTTCGAAATTAAAATGCATGCCAGACTTTGGAAAATGAATTTTAAAATGAATTTTACATTCTTTTTAATTTTTAAAAAAGTTTTTAAAATACAAACAAAAGTACCTTTCTTGGCCAATCAAAATGCACAATATACTTGTTGCAGCACGATTAGGCTTAGTTATCAAGCTGGGGGTAAGAATTAGAAGTTTCGCTTGTCATATGTATTTTTATCATTATTATTTTTTTATTCTATTTATTCTTGTAAATTTTGTGCCCTGTTTTCATATATTGTTTTTGTATTCATTGGTTTGATCTGTACCAAATTGTGATGGCTTTTAGCTATTAACAATAAAGTTATTACTTACTTACTTACCGTACTTACTTACTAATATACTTGTAAGCTTTTGAAGCTCCATGGGCTTCTTCATCAGGCAAGATGTTAACAAACCAAACAGGAGAAAAACAACTGGAGATGTTAGTCAGATGCCTACATGTTGTTTCAGTCTTTAGTTAAGATGGTAAATGGTGGGGAGGATAGCTTTTGCAGGCAGGGTCCTCCTTCTTCTGGCCCTGTGGCTATAGGGAGATTTCCAAAGTCCAGGAAATATAAAATCCATTTGCATCTCAACAGGGACCCCTCTTTTGCAATCCAATATGTCTCCATTTCAGTAGATGTCACAGTTTTAAAAAATAATTCATGATAAACCTCTGGAATCAATAGCCACCTTGAACCCCATTTGGGGGAGAAAGGCGAGATATAAATCCCATAAATAAAATAAATTCAGAGATCTAGCCATACTAACCTGGAAAATCAATATGCAAAAGGTTCTTGCAACACCTTTTGAGACTAACCGAGTGTTAGGTTTTTGTAGTCTACGAAAGCTGATACGACAATTTCTTTGGCTCTGGAATAAAGTGAGTACGCAAAGGGATCTTGTAGCACCTTACATGATCCCTTTGCATACTGATTTTCCAGACTAAGGAGGGTTGCAGACTGCCAGAAATAGTGCAAATTGAGTCCACTTTTAGGGTTAGGGTTAGTGCTAGGGAATCATGGGAATTGTTTTTTTTTTCCCCTAAGACATTGAGCCTTCTCTGTCAGAGAGTTCTGGTGCCACAATAAACTACAGTTCCCATGGTTCCCTAGCACTAACCCTTACCCTAAAAGTGGACTCAATTTGCACTATTTCTGGCAGTCTGCAACTCCCCTAACATGGCCAGATCTTGGAAGAAAGTGAGTTACTGATGCTAGAGTGAACTCCAGTTGTTTTATAAGTGGTTATAATTTTCTTGTTGCTTTGTAGCACTTTCCATTTTGGGGCTGCAATCCCAGTTTAAACTACAGATTATCAGATTTTAGGGAAAGTCCAAAGAGCCTGAGCAAATACTTTTGTCGTAAACAACAGTCTAGGGGGGCTCCATTGTTGCTCTGCAAAGACTCCTGGGCTCCTGGGTCTGAGGATTGAAATGAATAAAGTCTCCCAATTCCTCTCCCAATTTCTTTCTAAGAAAACTTCAAATCCTTTTTTTTTTCCTTTCGGTCTTGGAGATGCCGAATTCTTTCCGAGGGCCTCCTGGCTCTGATTTATTCTGTTTGTGTTGTCCTTTAAAGTCGACTCTGATCTATGCCAACCCTTTTTTCTTGGCAAGATTTCTTCAGAGGAGGGTTGCCTTTGTCTTCCTCTGAGGCTGAGAGAGTGTAAGGTGCCCAAGGTTTCCATGGCTGAGCAGAGATTCGAACCCTGGTCTCCTGGAGCACTTTATCAAAAGTTTTGATGAGTTTATTAATTCCATAATTATTAATCGGTAGATACTGGAGGCCAGGGTTCGAATCCTGGCTCGGCCATGTAAACCCAATGTGTGGGTAAGTCACTCTTTTAGCCTCAGAGGATGGCGATGGCAAACTGTTGGAAGATCTTTATATTCTTCTTTTCACCTCGTTAGATAGACAGGGATTTCTGCTTGGAAACTCCTCCCTTTTCTCTCTCTTATTCAAACTAACCTTGTGACTTAGGTCAATCCCTCTTTGAG